CCTGTTCCTTTCGACATCAGAAACTTGTAGAAGACTTAAAAAGCTGAAACATTCTAGGACACTCAAGTATGAGATGCGAGTGTGGATTAAGAGGCTGGTTTTAGAATCGAAAGGAAGAGGAAGATCTAAAAGACATTTTGGGCAGTACTTGATTGAAGATTAGATATGGGAGTGAGTTAGCTAAGTGAGTTAGCTTGCTTTGAAGACAGAAGGAAGTCCTGACTATGACACACATAGGCTGTATTACCCTGGGAAAGTCACTTAACTTTTCAGGGCTTTAGGTTAACTCTGTAGGTCTGTAAGTCGAAGGGAAGGTAAGGGGATTGGCAGAGAGATTTCCTCACCTGGGAAATGAGGTGCAGTTCCTATCCTTCAATCTCCTAGTTAGTCTGTTCTGTGCTTTCAATTTTGAGGCAAATTATTGCAACCTGCCTTCTCTGGTTGGCTCCAAGTTTATTTGCTTTGGATTTTTTGAAGTGAGTAACTCCACCTTGAAAGTTGGAAGCAAGGTGATTGGAAGGGTCATTGATAGCGTTGGATAAACAGGTATGTTTTTTGACAATTCAATTCAATAAACATTTGTTAAATACCTATGTACTAGGTTCTATGCTGGATGCTGGGAATGCAAAGACAAAAATAAAACAGTCCCTGCTCTCAAGGAGCTTACCTTCTACTGGGAGAAAACATGTATATAGATAAATAAATGAAAGATATATTAAAAAAATAAATTTTGTACCATGGGAACAGTAACAACTGATGGGAATGAGGAAAAGTTTCTACCCTAGAATAGCAAATTGGTACTAGGATTTCTCCCAGGGCTGCATCAAAACGTATGAAACTGTAGAAAACTGTTAAGTATTTAAATAGAATTCTTTGTGATGGCTCACATTCGTCTATAAAAAGTATATATTTAAAAATTACTTTAGAGCTATCTGTGATTTCATTAGTTGTACAGATCAAAGCACAGATAAATCATCAAGACAAAGAAAGTTTATCACCTGGTGGCCAAGCTGGTTCAGAGACAAAGACACACATTCTGTTACTGGGCCTATATTAGAAGCCTTTCTAGTCTGATTGGGCAAGCAGTCTTTGATAGTAAATATTAACTCACATTTACATGATGCTTAAAGTGTACAAAGAACTTGTGGTAGTCAATAAATTACCTTCAAGTTGGCATGTCAAGCAAGTCCCTGAACCACTGAGGATAGCTTTTGAGCGTAGGAATTGGGAAAAGGGATTCAGAATAGAATGGGGTAGAGTTTCTAATGATTGGTGATATCCTTGCGAAGTTACTAGAAGCAGGCTATAACAAATAAGGAGAGAGCTCAACAGGTAGCTGTCACTGTTCTTTTCTATCTCTACTGAAAAAAAAAAGCTACTAATAATGACATATTAAGAAATTAGTTTCTTAATTTATATAACATTATAAAGAAAAACAACTTCAAAAGATTTGAGAATTTCAATCACTGAAATGACAGAATATGATTCCAGAGGATTGATACTACCAATGTCCTGACAGTCATTCAGTCAGTCAGTAAACATTTATTGAATGCCTATGATAAGCTGGACAATGTGCTAAGCCCTGGGGACAGAAAGTATTTTTTTTTTTGGGGGGGGGAAGCAGCACAACTGGTTGATACACTGAAAAAATCAGCACTTTAGGAAGATCACTTTGGCAGTTGAACGGAGGATGGACTGGAGTGGGGAGAGACTGGTGGCAGGAAGACCCACCGGTAGCCTCTTGCAATAGCATAGGTGTAAGATGATGAGGGTACGGACTAGGGTGGCAGTACTAGCAGAGGAGAGGAGATATGATGAAGGTAAAATTAATCGGCCTTGACAACAGATTGGATACAGACTTAAGATGCTGAATAAAATATACATGGTAAGACACGGCCAATGGGGATATTTGCTTTACTTGACTATGCATATTTGTTAGTTTCTTCTTCTTTTTTTGTTGTTCAATGGAGGGAAGGGGAGTAAGAGAGAGAGAAAATAAATGCTTGTTAATAAAAAAATGAATTAGTTCTTTTGTAATACTGAGTTTTATTGGAATTCTCCACTTCTCCCTCTTATTTAAATATCCTGGAGGCAAGCCTGTAGTGGATAGAAAGCTTGCTTTGAAGACAGAAGGAAGTCCTGACTATGACACATATAGGCAGTATTACCCTGGGAAAGTCACTTAATTTTTCAGGGCTTTAGGTTAATTCAGTAGGTCTGTAAGTCGAAGGGAAGGTAAGGGGATTGGCAGAGAGATTTCTTCACCCAGGTATGTTTTTTGACAATTCAATTCAATAAACATTTGTTAAGTACCTATGTGCTAGGTTCTATGCTGGATGCTGGGAATGCAAAGACAAAAATAAAACAGTCCCTGCTCTCCAAGGAGCTTACCTTCTACTGGGAGAAAACATGTACATGTCTCTGGTTGACTCCAAGTTTATTTGCTTTGGGTTTTTTGAAGTGAACAAACAAGTCTGATAATACAGACCCTCAGAGGATACTTTAAGGGTTACTTAAGCCAATTGAAAAGTGATGTTTTTTATCCCAATAGAAAATTTTTGTACCTTTCTAGCCTGGTAACTTACAGACAGACATACCAGATCAGGCATAGAAGCAGTTCTTTATCCACTTTAGATTTGTAGTCTGAGTTAAAAGAAAAAAAGTCCAATACAGAGGTTATACATTTTATGCCTAAATATTCCCAACTCCACATGAAATAGGATTCCACACCATAGGAGCCTATCTTTTCCCAGTTAGGAGGGCTAATTAATGATGGGACCTTTTTTGACTTTGAGACATGGTTAACTACCTTCCTATTTTCTTAGTCCTCAGGCCTAAGTAGGAGACTATGATCTACTCTTCTACCTTCTTCTTCAGCATGAACCTCTCCTATGGTCTTTTTAGGCCTTGTCAGCTAATGCACCCTGCTCGTCTTATAGGTCTTTTAATAATATTGTACACATGATCAAATGACAAGATGCAGCACTTTGGAAACCTTGAGGCACTATTCTTGTCAGCTATTATCATTATTACATAGAACTTTGTATTAGAAAATATTTTCACATATTCTTACAATAATCTTTTGAAATAGGCAGGACCGATATTGTCTCCATTTTTTTAGATGAAAACAAAACAAAACAAAAAACCTCCGGCCAGAGAGGCTTTCCTAAATCACCCAGCTTGTAACAAACTTGGCCAGTAGAGATGGAATCAGAACCTAGTTCATCTGATTTCTAAAGTGTTAGCTCTTTGTCTGCTATAGCAAGCTACCTCTAAACGTACCCTAGGGTCATGGTGGCTCTTTACACAATTTCGCTCCTATCTTTCTTGTCACCTAGGACATCCAGTTCTTTTTCTGCTATACACTTGCCAAGTCAATTTTCCTTAATCCTGTATTTGTATTACTACGAATATTCGTTGTTGTTCCTCACTTTGCCGACCTATAAACTTGCCTTGGCTGGATTTCATCCCGCTTTTGTAGTAGCCCTTTTGCCACGTTTGGTGATTTTGAATTTGGTATTAGGATAGCTTTGAATTCTACCTTCCAACCTTATCTAATTCATAGTTCCTGAAGATATGTTGAGCATTATTGCAATTATTTTTTTCTCAGGACAATCAATAAAGATACTGAATGGGCCGGGCCCCTGGGGGTGATCAGTTTTGAATTTGGTATTATGGTAGATTTGTATCGCCTCCTGTATCGTCTCCCACCTCATTTAATCCATACTACCTGAAAATGTTAAGTATTGTTGCAGTTTTTTTTCTCAGTATAATCAATAAAGATATTGATTAGGCAGTCCCCTTGGGATGATTTCACCTAGATGGTGTGAAGTCTGGATAGAGCCCTGTACTTGAGAGTCTGGAAGACCTAAGTTAAAATCCAGCCTCAAACACTTAACTAGCTGCATGGACAAGTCACTTAATCTCTCTGGGCCTCAGTTTCCTCATCTGTAAAACGGGAGAATCATAATTCCACTTCCCTCATAGGGTTGTTGTGAGAATCAAACGAGATAATACGTGAAGCGTAGTTTGCAAGTCTTAAAAGATTATATAAACGCTGGCTATTATTATTATTATCCTCCCCGCTGGGCCCTTGTGCGTGTAACGAAACATTCATTCTGGGTCTCCCCCACCCCCCCGCCCTCGGTTTTACCACTAGAAATGCTATTTTTCCAATTTCTCGGTGAGAATGTTGTGTGGGAACCACAGAAAAAGTTTTCATGGAATCGAGCCCCTTCTCTGCGTTGGCTTGGCTGGATGAACTCAGCACAACACCCGAGCCGGCTCAGACGCAGGATCTCGTTAGCTGGTCGCCAATTGATGGAAGATTCCATCCCACCCCCATCCCCCTCATACGTTTTAACATTAAGCTGTAGCTTCCTGGGGTGGCTTTCATTCCCACCCCGACCCCTCAGGGCTGTCCACGCGCGACACTTTTTTTAAGAAAGGAGCAACATTTGCCCCCTTTCCCCTGCCTACGTAATCCCCGTGGCCTCTCGGATTTCTTAAAAAAGAAAACCATAATAATCAACGCGGTTTTCCGTCTCGCTCGCCAGGCGCCCCGCCCCTCTCCCGTCTCGCTCCCACCGCCTCCCTCCTCCCCCCGTGCCCTTCCGAGCTTCTCAGCCCGGGGCAGACAAGGAAGACAGGAGCGCGCGCCAGACGCCAGAACGTGCGTCTTTGCGCACGTCCTCGCGAAGAGCGCCGGAAGGAGGGCGCACGGGGGAAGGGGGATTCTGCGGGCTGCCGGGCGGAGGCGCGCGCCCGCCTGCTCGCCTGCTCGCCCGCTCGCTCGCTCGCCCGCCCGTCCGCGCGCCGCGGCGCTGTTGCTGTCGCCGCCGCTGGTGCTGCTGCTGAGCCGCCGCCGCCGCCGCCGCCGCTGCCGTTGCCGCTGCTGCTGCTGCTGTGCCGCCGCGGCTGCGGGAGGCGGCGCTGGCTGGCGGCTGGGCTCGCTCTAGTCAGCGGGCGAGGGAGCGAGCGAGCGAGAGTGTCTTTTAAAGATGGCCGGAGCGGCGGCGGCGGTGGCCGCCGGAGCAGCCGCCGAAGCAGCCCCAGCCGCGGTGGCCGTGGCGGCCCCGGGCCGGGCCTCGGCGGCGCCGCCTCCGCCGCCTGTGTACTGTGTGTGCCGGCAGCCGTACGACGTGAACCGCTTCATGATCGAGTGCGATATCTGTAAGGACTGGTTCCATGGCAGGTAAATAAACCGACACCCCCCCCTTTCCTGCTGCTGTTCCCCTTCACCCCCCGGCCGCGGGCAGCCGGCCCCCCGGGTCCCGGGACCGCACGGTCGGGGCTGGGAGTCGGGAGCGACCGCCGCGGCCCGGGCCGGCTGCCGGGAGCACCCTCTCCCTCCGCCCGCCGGGTCCCGGCCGGCGACGAGGTGGCGACCGGGGTGAAGAGTCACCACAACAAACAGGAACAAAGGGGGCCCGAGAGTGAAGTTGGCAGAGGGGAGGAGTTGGTGCCGGGGACCGCGGCTCGTAGCCCGGGGGGCTCGGGGGGGGTGGGGGGCCCTGCCGGCCCCCCCACCCCCTTACCCCCCCGCCGCCGCCGGGGATGGATGGGGGGGACCTCCCTGCCTTCGGGACGGGCTCGGGGTTTGTCTCGAGCTTCCCTTCCCTTCCTCCCCGCCCCCCCCGTTAAAATAAATCATGATCGTGTTTTCATGGAAACATTTCATCCCTCTGCTTGCGTCGGGGGGCGCGACGTCGTTGTCGCCTCCAATCGAAAGCCCCAGCCCCGGGAAGCCGTGCTCAAGTAAACATAGCAACAGATGAGGAGGCACGGGCTGTCGGGCACTTAAAAAAGAACAGGAAGAAGAAGAAAATTCCATCTTGTTAATTGGAAGTTTTCGGCTCCGGGTCTCTCCCGAGGGGGCGGCAGGTTGGGAGGCAGAAATTGGCACCCACTTGGATGCTTCCCCGCCCCCCCGGGATAGTGGGACTGCTGGGCCTTGGAGATGGGGGGCGGGGGGAAAAAAGAGGAACGGGCGGCTTGGATTCCCGACCCTTTTACACCCCCCCCCCCAAAAGAAACTTTACAAAGAGACTTCACCCGGGCCGACTGACGGAGAGACACTGGGACAGACCCAGGTCCTCGTCGCCTTCCCCCCCCGCCCCCCGGGGGTTTTACTGGAATGAACTTTAGTCGATTGTGTCGGGACTCGGAGTCTCGGTCGCGGTGGTGGCAACGGTCTTTACGAGAAGCGAGTCGCCTCCGTGTTTCTGGCTTTGACGTTTGTGGGAGTCGTGGGGCGGCCAGGCCGCCGACTCGTGTGTTTTGTAATCAAAGTGTGTGGCTAATAAAGGGCGGCGCCACAGCCTCCGGACTCCAGCGTGGGAGGGATTCACGGGCATTTAAACAAAGAAACTAGTTGCGAATGGGCCACCAAAGTCCTTATTTGGGGGTTCATGCGCTACCCTGGAGGGACCCTCAGGGGAAATGGGTTCCCTGGCCTGGGCTAGGTCGAATATCTTGTCAAAATCAAGCTCTGGAGTGGTGGCAGATATGGTGGCTGTGATTGTAGGAAATGTCCTTTGATTGACAGCAGGACATTTAAATACACCCCCCATCCTCCCCTTCCCCCTCCCCCTATTTTACAAAAACAGAACAGGACTAAGCATCTTTGGCGCCCTCCACTGGTTCGGGAATGGAAACCTATTAAGTACTGTTATCTTGCTGGAGCATCTGTGCCCAGAATTCTGGAGATACCGAAGTGACAGGTCAGTTTTGTTTACTTAAGTAGCTCCTGGGGTAGGAAATCCTGGTATAAACAATCCCAGTTAAAAAACAAAACAAAACAAAACACCAAAACAACCAAACTCCCAGATCTTTAGGAGGACAGCTCCTTAAATTAAGTAATTTAATATTCAGTTTTCAAGTAGTTTGATGACCTTATTGCAACACAGAAAATTCACAAAATGAAATTTTAGAATTAGAAGTGACCCAAAAGATCGTCTTGTAGTTGAAATCAGTGTGCACTGCCCACTGCTATTGAGTGATAGCTGCCCTTTATTTTAAATAGGTAGAATATTTAATTGTACCATGCTTTGTGCATTCAGACATTCTATTTCTGCATTATAGCACATCTTTATCCTATAGCTTTGGTTGCAAGTAAACTAAAATAAGATTGTATAATTTTGGAACTTTGGCTATGCATGATACACAGATATCTTTTAAAGTATGTATAAAAATTAAAATTACAAGTAATTTTCTGGTATGGTTGGTCACATTTATGTTGTATTTGTTGCTTATGTTGGATTAAAATGTAAGAAAAATAAATATAGTTTAAAAAGCAAATTATTTGACTTTTAGATGTCTGATATTTTTAGTGCTGTGCAACAGTTAAGCTTATATTGCTAGTGACTTTCAGAAAGAAATTTATAATACTGTACTTAACTGAATTTCAAGGGCAAAGAGATGAGGAATCTAGGAAAAAGGCTTAAGTAAAAAAAGTGAGATCTCCAATATGAATAAAATATGCATGATTTTATTGTAATTAGAGTACTGAAATAAACTTTTCTGAGTGTAGATAATTTTGTCGTAAACATTTGATGTTATCTTTTGAAAGTAAAGTTAATGGTATGTAGTTTGAAAATTGTAAGAGGGCAGCTAGGTGGTAGGGGGCAGCTAGCTGGTGAAGTGGATAGAGCACCTGCCCTGGAGTCAGGAGGACCTGAGTTCAAATCCGACCCCAGACCAAACACTTGACACTTACTAGCTGTGTGACCCTGGGCAAGTCACTTAACTACAATTGCCCAAAAAAAATAAAAAGGAAAAAAAAGAAAATTGTAAAAATAGGAGATTTTGTGAAATGGCACTACTTATATACAAAAGAAGTATTTTAAATCATTAGCATGTTGAGTTGTTAATGAAATCTTGATGATAGGGTCACTTAATACAGAAAAAATATTTTCCCATAACAAACTTGCTGTGTGATACTAAAAAGAACTGATACAAACACATTTTGTATTCACATTGTACCTGTGTTTTGGCCTGGTAGAATGGAAACTTCTTGAGGGAAGAGATTTAAAAAATTTTTGTCTTTGTATCCCGAGTTTCTAGCTCAGTCGTTGGTACATAGTTGGTACTTAATAAATACTGGTTGATTTGATTGGTGAAACAGAGTGGGATGCAGTTAAGACTAGTTAGGAACCTTTTACAGGGTAATAGCTTCTAAGACAGAGTTGCTGGAAAACCAGACCTAGGGTGGCAGCATGGAAAATAGAAAGGAGGCTTAGGAGGGAGAGATATCGAAGTTAGAATTAATGGATCTTGTCTACTGATTGATTGTGTAGGATGAAGGAAGAGTCAAACTCCCAAGGTTCTGAGCCATGGATAACTGGGTCAGTGGTGGTGCCATCAACAAAAAGGAAAGATAAGTTGAGATAGATTATTTGTTTTGTGGGAAGATGAGAAATTCAATTCTGGACGTTGAATTAAAGTTTGCCACATGGAGTGCAGGGCTAGAGATAATAGATTTGGAGAGTCATCTGCATATAGGTGATAATTAAAGCCACAGGACTCAATGAGATGACAGGCGATAGAATGGAAAGAGAGATAGGATAGAGTCTTGCAAGGTTATGTAAAACTAAAAGTCTGTATTTCTAGGAATGAATAATTAATGAAAAAGCATTTATTATATCCTTTCTACTAAGTACCAGGGGATAGAGACAGAAAATTAAGATGGGTTCCTGACCTCAGGGAGTTTGTTTTCTAATAAAAGCAGATAATAATCTTCTTTAATTCACATGGAATACCTCACTTCATGATGCTGCAGGCAAATGAGGAGTCCCTGTGTTTACCTATACCACCTCTTTGGGGATAAGGTAGTCCATAAATTTAGTGAACTAGTGTTTCCATTTGTCTCTAACTCTACTCAAGTATAAAGGTTCTCATATTTTAGAATTTGGTGAATAAGTGTGTTTTTCTTATTTATGGATTTTAGAAAGATTTCCATTGAAGGTTTTTAGGTTTGATTGTTAGGTTTTTAAAGAGATAGTTCCTTACTTCATGGTGTCAGATAAATGAGGCATTTCTCTTCTTTCTCCCATAAAATTTATTCTTGAAATTAACTACATAGCTGAACTGACAGATTTAAATTTCTTTTTTTCTCTCCAACTTTTTAAACAACTATATTGTAAATATTGATGAGCACTAATATATCTCAGAAAAATGGCAATGGAGCTGCCTACAAAAACCCACTCATACATCTCCCCTTAAAAAATCCTTTGATTTAACCATCCCATCTAATAATCGTGTATCTCTGCTCCTGATTGTGACTTAATCCCTTGAGAAAGCTATTCCCACTAGATGCCTCCACTTCTCTTGTTGTTGAGTTATGTTCAACTCTTCGTGACCCCATTAGGGGTTTTCTTGGTGAAGCTACTGTAGTGGTTTGCCATTTTCTTCTCCAGCTCATTTTACAGATGAGGAAACTGAGGCCAACAAGGTTAAGTGACTTGCCTAGGGTCACACAACTAGTAAGTGTCTGAGGCCAGATTTGAACTCAGGAAGATGAATCTTTCTGACTTCAGGCCTAGCACTTTATCCACTGTGCCCTTAAGCTGGGCTCCCTCCACCCACTTTCTTCTCCCTCTCCTTTAAACTCTTTGCATTCTAGCATCAGACTTCATTACTCAACTGAAACTGCCCTCTCCATGGATCTCTTGATTGCCAAATTTGATGGCCATTTCTCAATCCTAATCCTTCCTGACCTCTTTGCAGCATTTGACACTGTTGATCACCTCTTCCAGGATACTCTTGACAATTAAAAAAAAAGTTATTTTATCTTTCAATTAACAAATATTTATTTTCTCTTCCTCCCACTTCCCTCCCTCATTGAAAAAAAAAAAAAGAAAAACAAAACTCTTATAACAAATATGCTTAGTCAAGCATAACAAACCCCAGCATTGTTCATGTCCCAAAATTTGTATCTTCTACATCTTGAATCCATCATTTCTCAGTCAGGAAGTAGATCAGGTTCATCATCATTCCTCTGAAATTTTCATTGTATTTGATCAGAGTTCTTAAACCTTTTAAAATTATTTAACCTTATAATGTTGTTGTTATCAGATACATTGTAGTCCAAGTTCTTCTTACTTCACTCTGTATCAGTTCATACAGGTCTTCTTCTAGATGCTGTTTCCTCACTAGGTTTTTCTGATATTCCTCTCTTCTCTTACTCTGTTTTAT